ATATATCATAAAGCATTATAAGTCATAGGTTTTAATAAGTTTTACACTAACAACTTTACCACCCAACTATCTCAGTACTGACACCAAAACATTCCAATTTTATTAAATATCAATTGTATTTTAGACGGTACCTAAAAAACTATTCTCATTCATCAATCCTCACAAATTACATTTTAAAACATCTGTTCAATATCAATAATTAATAATAAAATGAAAAGTATAATTAATTTTTCTGTAAAGTAAACGGATAAAAGGGAGAAAGTAGATCATCGATAAATTAATCATTGTGCTACTCGTAAATATCCTATTTAGTCTAAATTTAAACTTCAGACGGTCATAAAAAATATTTGTGGAATTTTATTTTGCTCTACTTTTTAAAATTATCATTCTTATATGAAAAAATTAGAATATTATGGAACCTTTTATTAAATTTTCAAATCTTATAGAGGTACCTATACATAATAAAAATATTATGAATTGTATACAACAAATTAATTAAAAACATTTTGCAAAAAATTGAACTTTAAAAGTTTATACGCTTATAAAAATTATTGTGACAGTATACTTTCGATATTTCTTAATTGGTGAAAAAAACTTACGAAAAACTCATTAGGAACCTGTATTTCATTTTCAAACATTTTTACCTAAATTAAGAAAACTCTTTTCTTTTCTTAGGATGTTAAAGCCCTCTTGCCATACATCATGTAATTATCCTCTTCCATTCTTCTCTATTTTCTGCTATCTCCTTCCAGTCTTTAAAATTGTATCATTCATTGATTGAAAAAAAAACAAAAAAAAATTTTAATTTAAAATATATTCAAAGTCTAGTAAATGTTAATATTTAGTGAAAAATTACAATTTCAAGACCTTACAGTTATTTATTTTTAAGTTACAAAAAAAGCAAGTGATATACATTTTAACGCGAATAAAATGTGGCACGAATTGTTCGGGACGTTGACAGGACATGGTAAACAAAGTTGTGAAAACGACGATTATTATAATAGGACAGGCAGAGAAACTTGGAAAACAAGTCCAACGTGTCTTTGTTAAAAAGCCCGTAAACTGTTTTTAAATGTATTTTATTATCTCGAAACGTTATTATACAACCGAACTTGGTTTTTAACAAAAATTACTGCATGTTAAGGAGCCCAACGTGTTGACTATATAATATGGCGACGGCACGTGGCATCGTGATATAATAGATAGGTATACATTTATATTATTATAGTAGAACTCGGGACTAGACATTTTAAAAGGTTTTGATTAAAAAAAAAATATCGATATGTTACGTGAAACTATTCAGTTTTGTCTAAATTAAAACTTTAAATGCTTTTGAAAAATAAAAAGACCAACAACTTTTGAGATATTTCAGTGCTTTTATATGAATGTACGTGCTGTAACAAGTTCTAATAAATTTTCAGGGCTTTATATCAAATTATTAAGAAGTTAAGATGTTTTAATAAAAAAAATACAAAACAATTAATGTTTAAAAAAATTCTAAATATATATGTTATATGTGAGCTATTGCTTTTAAAATAAAATAAAATATAAACTTGTTTTCGTAAAATTCTCACACACAATCAGAAAATATTATGGTAAAAGCATTAATAAAATGGTAAATACATAATACAAGCTTTAATACATTTTGTAAAATAATAGTTCAATATATTTTTCCTTTGATATGGAAATACCTGTTTTTTTGTTGAGTCTTGTGTCATTCTACACGACTCTCATTTTTCATGACTCCCTAATGCACATGTGGTATCAGTGTCCAGTAGCTGCTCGTAAGCCACATCTTTTAGCACCGCGCATAGCTCCTCTCGGCTTATACATATTATTACGATCAAAAACAATATTTTTAGTTAGGTCTCCTAATGACCAGTTGATGGCTTTAGAAAAATTTCGCTTTGTTAAGTCAAGCGACATTGTGTCTATGTTAATACTTGTATATGCGTCTAGAACTGTAAACAGAATGATAATGATAATTTTATGTATTATTAATTTATCTTGGTTGTAAATTGTAATGTAAATGCATATAAGTAACTTATTATTATATACATAAACTTAATTGCTCTTTGGTTAAAATCTAATTAAAACAAAAATATTCTCTGTCTTTTGTGTTGCATAATATAAAGTTTAATTTAACTTTCAGACTCTTAAACAAAAAAAATCTTAAAGTCATTTTATTCTGATACTAATATACAATTGTTACATAATGTAACCTAACCTAACCTAACTTAGCCTAAAAACCTGTGATATTACCGGCTGCTGTAAATTATAGGTAGGTACGAAAAGACAAAAATGGTAATTGAGTCCAGTGTTGAGCAGTATCTAGAATCTAGATAAATGTATCTAGATAATGTATCTAGATAAAACTACAGCATCTTTATCTCATCTAGATAAATAAAATATTAGGTATCTGATTGTCATCTAAGATAAACTGTATACCTATCTAGATAAATATATCTAGATAAATAAATAATTTTTAGTTTCGATTGATTTGTTGGTAGTTTGGTACTTTTAATTTTTAATTTTATCTTACCATTGATCAAACAAAATATTATACTATTCCTGAAAATAAATATGTGAATATATTTATTTTTTTCATTGTATAATATAATATATACTATATAGCCACATTGGTATAGCGTATCTCGGCACATTATCGCTCTCACGAATGTGTTTGTTCTTTTTTATTTATTATTAAATTTCTCGTGTAATGTTGATTACTAGAAAATGTTTCAATGAAATAATATCGTTCTTGTCTATTTATATAAAGCTAAATAATATTGTTATTACGTAAAAGTGTAAAAGCCTCATCCAGCAGCGCACATTATTTCGTGAACTCGTAATGGAAATATTCTATTATGAGGCATGACTGCAAGTCTATACTCTATATAGTGTTATAGTATATTATATACTGTTATAGTATAATTATAAATTATAATAAAGTATAGTCTTCGGAATTCGGCACTGTCCCGCTATACGTTCACAACTTCACTTTACAATAATAATATTATCTTGATTTTTGGATTGGGAGGCGGTGTCCGGAGGGTAAATCGAACGTAAATAGCTCAGAACATAATAATATTTGGTATACCTTGTAAACAATAATATTATATTCTTATATTCAAAAAAATGAAAATATCTATTATGGTATCTAGATAAAAAAATATGTATCTTTATCTTTATCTAGATAAAAGTAAAAATGATCATCTGAATCTGAATCTAGGTAATTGTTTATGAAATTATCTTATCTAGATATTATTTTTGTTATCTGGGCTCAACACTGATTGAGTCAAATGGTAGGTATAGTCAAGACAACGATAAATAAAGCGTAGATCCGGTATAGTCATAGCATCGAGAGGTAAACGGTTTCCGAGATAACAAGTAACTATACCACTCAAATAGAAGATTTCGAATAAAGGTTATCATGGCCAAAGAGCGATCGATAGAACGGAAAAATATTCCCTAGTTAAACACACTAGGACAATGAAATAGAAGGCAAGCCCCGCACATAATAATAATATACAATATTGCAATATACTAATATTAATAAAGATAGTGATATGTTTGTAAACATAATAATAACTTTACAAAATAATAACTATATTCTACAGTCGTCGTCTAGAGTCAAAAGTCGGGACCGTAAAGAAAACCGATGATACTCCCCACAGTGAGAAAATATTAATGTATCCAACTGCTTCGTCGTCGTTGATATTATAACACTGTGCACACGATGGGAACAAAATAATAATAACAACAATGATAATAATATTATTATTATGAATCCTACTCCCGGTGTATTTTAATTGCTCCATTTAGAGGATTTATTTCAAACAGACCGGTTACCGTTATGCTTTTTAAATTCTAAGCTTAGCTCTGAATATATTGATTGGGTTTTATTATTTTTTATTTTTTGGTCTTTCACCACCGTTTGGGGCAGTAAAACTGCTTCAATTTTCTTCAACAGTATTTTGTTCTTTGAGAAAGTAAATCTAGTTGGTGCATTTAGAAGGTCAACATTTAAAATTCAAAATAGTTTTAAAAAGCGCTGGGAAAAACAACATAAAAATTAAGGAAAAACGGAAGCCTGTAAAGGACTTGTAGGTATACGGAGTGATCCATTTTACGTAAGACGATCATTCGATCAGACGCACTTGTAAGACGGAGACAACAAATGGTCGTGTAATGCCCTCTTAAGGGGATCTAGTCAATGAAAAAAAGTGACTTTTAGACTAAAAAGCTAGACAAATTTGGAGGAATTTGGTTTGACGGATTTTAATTTTGAAAACGGATTATTATTGATTAGTTAATTATTAAAATAATCATTTAAGCCAAAAATGTACTAGTTAGTACTATATTTGAAACTAATTTTAAATTTTTACCTCTCAAAAGTACCAACTAGATTCACTTTTCTATCAAAAAATTACTGATCTCAAAAATCGGAACATTTTTACTACCCAAAATGTTGATGACGGACAGAAAAAAAATATACATCATTGTGAAATCAATACTACAATTCTTTCGCTCTCCCAGAATCTAAAATGGTGGATCAAGCATGAAAAAATAAATTTTTGAATCAATTATGTTATTAAACTTACTTTATTTAATTTGTTATTTAACACATAATTGTTGATACACTTCAAAATGATTTATCAACGATTTACATTTTTTCTTGTAGATATCTAATAAACTCAAAAGCAATAACTTTTTTTTGGATAAACGCAAATTTAGATTTCACATAATCATATTATTATTACTTATCTAATCGAATTAGAGTACAGCATTTCGGTATGAGTACGTAACCTTCATTCGGTTGGATCACAATAATAATAAATTGATACTCTCGTCTCATCTTACATGAGAATAAATAAAACCTTGCTCAGTTAGGTACCTACTTAATAATATTAATAATCTTTGCATTGCAGGCGAGCCACCTCTCCAGATTCGAAGAAACAAAGACATTTTAAAATATTAAAAAAAACCTTGAATACCACATGGCATCACAAATATTCACCTCCTCTCCTAGTCCCAGAACATCAAAGAAACAAGAAAAAATCAAGGACACATACATCAAACCATGTATTAAATCAAACTGCCTTATCAACACCGACACCTTCTTTCCTTTTACGACAACTCCCTTCTGGCAATGGACCCCTAAAATAAACACTCAGCTTCTCCATTTCAAAAAGAACAGCACTCTTCAAAAAATTATCACAATGAACTTCAATGACATCTTACACACCGAATTTCAGGATTTTAATCATATATACACTGATGCCTCTAAAACCAGTGTCGGAGTAGGATTTACTTACTCCACAAGCCTCACTTCAAAACAATTCAAACTCCTCCCTGAAGCCAGCATATTCACAGCGGAAACCCAAGCTATTAAAGAAACTTTAATATTCAGAAAGTCAACAATCTCAAATAACATTTTAATAATCAGCGACTCCCTAAGCGCCCTTCTAGCCATCGAAGCACCGAACCCCTCTAACGAGATAATTTACCAAATCCACAACATCATCTCATCGACCCATAAAGTAATCGAATTCATGGGGGTTCCCTCATATACGGACATCCCTAAAAATGAAAAAGTGGATATGCTAAAAAACGAGGCAATCACCGCGACCTCATCCACAACCATTACTACTCTTCCATACCAATACTTAAAAAGATGTATAAATATACACACTGCCAATATGTGGCAAACATCCTGGGATGAAATACCAATCACAAATAAGCTAAAATCGATTAAAAAGAAAATCACTAAATGGTATACTTAGCCCAATGCCTCTATAAATTCCAAAATTATCAATACCAGAACAAGAATCGGTCATACCAACCTCACCCACATACATATCATAAAATACGAAAAACAACCCATCTGTAGCCAATGCAACGAATCGCTCTCAATCAAACACATAGTCTTAGACTGCTCGCTATATGCCAACGCAAGAAACATCCTCAACCAACCTTCATCGATGGAGGAAACACTAGGAGAACACAACACGCACTTGATCCATAGCTTCTTCAAATCGTTGGCATCGACACAAAAATTTAATATTAAGATAAAACTTCATAACTAGCAAATATAATGTGAATATATAATTCTGTAAAAACCACTTATCCCATAACTATGGAATCTTAATTTATAATCTAACTATACATCCAATATTCATTAATAATAATGTAACCACAACTACAGGCCAATGACCTAGCTGTTGAACTCTTTATTACCAATAAAAAAAAAAATTATAATAGTAATAACTAATAATATTAACACCTTGCTAGATTTATCCAATAATAACTGAAATTCTACAAATATTTTAGAAAAATTGGCTGAGTCTGATGTACAAGATAGTATCTTAAATTACATACATACACCTATACAACTCGATTGCATTGCCAAACTTAGGATAACAACCAAAGAAAGGTAGGTACTGACCATGTTAAAGTAACTTTAACCATAGTCATATAAATTATAATACTAGTAAAACTATATGTCCATGACTAAAACAATCCACGCCGTCGGCCGTTGCTTTAGATAACGCCATAACGGTATAACGGGTAATGGTGTAGCTCTACCACACAAAGGTATAACATGATAATGCCAATTGCCGACCACCCTAAAGTATTACACAAAAATCTAGCGAGATCGATATGGAAAGCATAAACTCACGAGCCCTGCGACATCTTAGATTTATTAGTGTTTGATTTCCCATTACTTGTATAAGTAATTTAAAGACGACTTGTTGGAAAACATCTAGTACCTAAGTTATAGTATCAGTTTAATGTTATTATTGTATAAGTTAGTATAATATTATTTTTGATATTATGTAATTGGAGATTACCTACTGGTTTAAATTTTCAAATGTAATAGAAAATATACGATAATAAAATGAGCAAGGGGGAAAGTAGGTAACCACTCTACTGTGTGCAGTTTAAGTGCCGAGTATTTCTTATTAGTTATTATTGAGTAATTTACTATATGTAGGTATGTGTTAAATTTGAATTCAATTATAAATCATTAAAACAAATAACGATTCTGTGCGATTAATGAATTGATTCCGTTGGCCTATATTAGTAAATATATTTCATGATATTATGTGTCTTACAATTGTTCATATCCCCCCCCCCCCCCCCGAATATTTTAAAAAGTACTGAGAAATTAAAATTTTTACCTTCCAAAAGTGTCAACAAGATCCAATTTACTACCAGAAACATTCATTCAAAGAATTGTTTCACTAGGAAACGGTATTCAGACACATACAAATTAAAAAGCACACATCATTGTAATAGATCAATACATTCATCGTACCACTGAGAATTTAAAAAAATTAAAACAACGTAATATACTAATTTGTTAATAAACCTAATACTATAGTAAGTTAGTTTATGTTATTAACCTACTAGTAGTTTGGTATAAATAAACATTATAAATCAATAACTAAATGCACACATAGTAAACTGTGACTATAAATAGTATACCTTGTTTAAGAGCATCTGATATTTCAAATAAATCAATTTATTTATCTAGACGCAGACCATGTCCATGACCTGTAGTTAATGGCGTCAACGCTAAACGCCGCATCCAGACGCTGCATGGAAACCTTAATTTAAAACTTTCTATGATAACCATCCCTGAATTACTTGCATTTTTTTTTTTTTTTTTGGGCTCCTGAATTATTGTAGAGATATACATTTAATAAAGACTAATACATTATTATTTTAATTATTTGAATTAAACATGTTTTCGATATTAAAATATTAACCTTATGTATTTACTGACCCAAATAATTTTTGAAACTATTTTAATAATGTAGGTAATTAGATACTTAGCGACTGGGACCAAATGTCATCGATTTCGATTTTTCTCTACGTGCGTGTGTCAATAACAGCGAAAATTATAAAAGAAAAACCGGAAATTATATTTTCATATGGACACATTTACAATCCATAGAAATGGTTGCTCCAACAGAAAGATATTGGCCAATTAACTATTTATCGAAAAGATTTTAAAGTAATTCATTAATAAATATATTAGATTACAATTTCCTCCAAAAAGATATGATCTATACTATAATATTACAAACATTTATTTTCTTTAGTTCTTAATTCTAATAGCCACCTAGGATACAAATTATTGCTTCAGAATAATATTATACATATTGGATCATACTGTAAAAAATTATACCGTGCTAAAGTTAATTTTCCACAACCTATAGATACAAACAGGATATGAACAAGGCATACCTCAACCTTTCATTATGGAAGTTTTCATTTTACATATTAATCTTTTACGGGGCTTTTCCAAGAAGTCTGACCGATAAACTCAGTGCCGTGTTAACGCATGCCGCCTATGGGCAGATTAAAAATGCCATCACATATTACTCCTTATACCCATCACAAAAAAATTATAATAAACATGTTGTGACAATCTTTTAATTAATAAACATAATACAGGTATGTACTTCCCATAAATACGATACACACATGATGTATAAACTCAGCCCCTCTTTATTTTATTAGCGTTCCGCTCATATTTAAAAAAAAAAAAAATTGTGTTATAAAAAAAGAAACCTTTGGCGTCAAATTAAATATCTCTGTAACATACGACAGTGTATTAAAATAATTACTATTTAGATACCTAATGAACAAATAAAACATTTTAAACTGAAAATATTAAATTTAAATAATTTTATAATCATGTAGTTTCTATAACTATAATAAGTAAATAAAATCATGTTAACTGCTTAATTTGTGTACTCTTTTAATTGTCATCTATATGGCCTCGATCTATTAAAAACAATTTTGGTTATCACTAGTCTTATACTGAGTTATACCAGTTGACACGCATAATCACTTAGTCATAGCACAACTTTTACTCTACAAGAATTAGTATTAAATAATATTAAATTTCAGTATCCAATAAGAACAAACTGATAACGATAAAAATATCTCCAGTCAAATTATCTTTAATAAAGAATATAATTTAAAAAAAAATATCTCAGACCAAAAACATATATAATGTTGTGAAAAAAATATGGTTATTTTCGTGTGCATGCTGCAATTTCGTAAAGTTATTACGCACATTTACAACACAGGTAGAATAAAATGTATGCGACTAAAATAATCAACGAGATGAATCGTCGTATGGACTGATTATTAGATGAGTTTATCATTGATGTTATAATTATAATATACCTACAATATGTTTTAGTTACATTGTGATATATTTCTTAGATAACATATTTTGGAAACCTCAATTTATTTTGTATCGTGGTATTTTATTATAATAATTTGACAGTGATCAATTCTAAATTGTATTAGAAAAGATTTTTTCATTAGATGTATTGGCTGGAGGTATTTTTGATAAAAAAAAAAACATTATTTTTTAGAGATATTTTTATGTGAACTATTTACCTACCGTTCGACTTTACACGTAAGCCGATTTCTCACACTATACAACTACTGTTGTACACGAAGACATGTAAAATACACAAATAATTGTTTGAACATGACCGACGGTCGAATGCATAATAAGTCTTCTACCTAGAATCTAGCGGTTGTGGCCTGCGGGGCTCCAACATTAACAAATGTTCGAATCACTCAGTGACTTATGTAAGCTTAACCGAACATACAATTACAATTTATCGTTATACAAAACATAAAACACCTTGTAAGTGGCTTGAGCTATGTTGTTAGTTGTGTATCCGTTGTTTAGTTTATTTAAGAAAATATAATCCAACGGGCATATAATTATAATAACCCCGAACCCAAGGTATACTTTACTTTCGGAAGTTTGAGATTAGGTCGAGTCCGATTCTAGAATACTACCCGACCATAAACACAGTGCTCCGAGCGTGTGTTCATTAGGTCGACATTCACCTTAATTTCAACCTCAACATTATATCCCTTAGTGAAACGAACTGCTGTGCGCCGTAATTGAATATTAATAACAAGCAAGGTTTTCATTACCTCCACGTAGTTTGGAAAGTGTATATCAATAAGTTACGGTGCCCGATATTCGGTTAAATGAGATCCAAGCACGACAACGAAAGTACGGTGTTTAAACACCGACGTGCAACCCACGCTGCACTTATTGTATTATACTTAATCTCTCAGTCTCGCACCTCATTTTAAAGCAAATTTAAAGCGTTCACGAGAGCTTAATCCAAAAAACCTATCGCTAGAATAATACGACGTGTAGAAAAAATAGTAATATTTTTGTTCATCGAACTCGACCCAACATTAATAAACCCTTCATAAACAGAGACAATTATTATGCAATAGCCACAACACATAACTATATACATAAGTAACAACGAGTGGACAAACAACGTAAAAAAATGTATACAAACGTATACTGTACACATATTTACATAATAACTGTATAATGTATAATAATTATAACGTAATATGTTACCTTCAATGTCGTATTATTGAAAATGGCCAGTCAAACATAATATACAGCAGTCAGCGCATAATATTATCATCATGGATAAAATTTAATTAAAAATCATCTCATTTCTATTTTAATCGCAACTATTTCATTCTAATTACATCCATCCGGAAAATAGTTATAATATCATGATAGGACATTGGTGACATTTTAACTTCGTAAGTGTATAGACTGTATTTTTAAACACCTCCACTGCACCAGTCTGAACCACTTTTATCATTAAAAAAATAATCATAATCTCCGTACATCTAATTATTCGTCTTCAATTTAATTATTTTTATTCAACTATACGGTAATGTCATTAGTCTTGTCACCAAAGTG